CACCACCATCACATTCTCCCATATCACCCATACCAACGATGCTTCTGCAAATACTACCCCACTTTCAAATGCTGTGTGCAACCTCAACTTCCCGTGTGCCAGATGCCCAGACGATTTCCAACTTGCACCCAAACCTATGAGAAGTGTGTGGAGTCATGCAAAGTGAACATCCACTGCATCCAATACTGTCAGAATCGCTTCCGCTTCGTTCCCCACTTCCCACGATGTCACCATCACCACGGTCACCACGATCACTTCTATTAATTTCACATCAACTCAGCCACTCATCTTCAATGATCTTTCACTATCAACCTGGGTCCTGGAAAATCACTCTGATGACTGAATGAAGGCAGAATGGAAGAAGAATAATGATGTCATGAAATAATGCAGTGTTAATTGCCACCCTAAGTGACAAAGCCAATTTGATTGCACGACAGGGATATTTGGGTAGTAAAGTGGAGAAGAACACGTCCAAACGATTGCCTGTAGTCCTATTTGACATTTGAGGTGGTTGCTGGAAAATGAAGTCAAATCGGTAATTTTACTTGAACGCAAAACTATTTTTCCTCAGATTTGTCCACGCTTTGTCACTACTATCTCAGGTGTTGAGGTATAGTCGTGCAAAGATTTGTATGATTTAAATGTGTGAAAGTGTATTTTACCTCTAATTCATCTTCAATAATGGAAATGGTTTTTCTTCAAAACCAGCATCATTAATTATGAGATGCAATCGATGGATCTCCTTTTGTACTAAATTGCTGGAAGGCTTCAAGTTGACAAGAAAATAACACATTGATCCTGTTTGAGTGCTCATCTTCAGCAACATTGTCCAAATTACAAATTTTCAAGGCATTGGTTAATATAATATAATGTTCAATGAAAAAAGTTGGCGAGTAAAGATCACATTGTTCCGTTTGAGAGATCATTTTCAGCGTGATTCCCACGACTCTCAAAAGCAACAAATTGGTTGTTGTGATTTCGAAGTCAATAGAAAAACGAACTTAATAGACTAGAGTTACTAGTTAGTCAAACCTTCAAAGTAGTAATTTTTTTCATTGTTTCATCTAAACTTTGAATGTCACGAAAGTGCTCATAAATCCTACAAATTTAGTATGCCCGGATGCTTTTATTACTCTACATGTTGAAAATGACGAAGGTCTTCTTATTAAGACTATAATTCAATAAGACAACTTCCAAAAAGCATCGATTTCCACTTGTTGAAAATTAGCACAGTGCTTTATTCCAAATTTTTGATTGCCCATACGATTCCTTCGCCCCCACTTCTCAATACGCGCCATAATTATTAGTCTGTTTCATGTAAAGTGCGTGTTAATGAATTGTCTCAAATTGAAATCCTAACCTCATTGATGTGACTCTACCAAGAAAACTACACTATTTACACTTTATTCTCAAAGGCGTATTTCTCCCTTCATGCTCCAACGATAAGGCCTACGATGCAATTTTTTTAATAGTCCGCGAAGCGATGCGCACATTAAACATACAAATCCACTTCTTAGAAAAATCAACAGAGTTAAAGAATAGGTAGAAATAGAAAATCTTTCAGCTGGTTGTATATTTAACTCTCACCGTTCCACTTTATTGCTCCGTTTGCAGCCCGAGTGCCTGAACAAAGTTCCCAGAGCTATTCCAGCTACTTTGGCAGCAATTATGAGTCCTATGGAAATGGATATGGATGCAAATAACCACAATTACGTCACACTCCGCAACCAAAACCTCGTCCATCAATCAGGCGTCTGTCCATCTACTCCTCCTGCTACATTTCATAGTCGACAGCCTCTTGTAAAGATGCCTTGAGAGAGCACTTCATCCACCACATCAACAGACAGTATTCAAGGGCCTTGTTACTTGTGAAGCCATAACTTCTCCTATTCATTTACTCCCAGTCAACTATATAATGTGATAATTCTTTCCAATTTCACTTCACAATTTAAGAGACTCTGTCCATTTTTGTCAATATATTTTGATAGGGGAACAATTGTGGTGATTATCGGGTGTAACAAAATGTTTATATTCTACGATTAAAAAGTCTATTGTCAGAATAAGTGAATCGCTATTAGGATCATCCATCTAATGAATTACTCGATAGTTGATTGATTTTGTCCGAAAATGCGCGTTTGAAAATAAATAGTTTTATTGATTTTTCTTTCGCCTTCACTAGTGCAGAATACTTACTCATTACTACCAAGTTTGAGCTATCAAAGTTCTTTGGTTTACTTTGTCTGAACAGGAGTTTTTAATTAACCTTTCTATCGACATGTGGTACAAGATTAAATGACTAAAATCTGAAAGTTGGAAAGTTGCAACAAGGAGATCCATAAAATATACAAATAAGTGATGAATAAAATTATGCCAATAGTGTTATCATCTCATAGCGCGAAGAGTAGTAAGTATTTACAGCATGAGTAGCTATGTAACAATTACCTTCCGATCTGATAGTTATTGAGAGTTCATAAAAGTAGAAGGTGTCGAAATATGCAGATCTATCGCTCAAGCTCATAGTCGACATCGGTTGACACTTATATGAGGAAACTCAGTAATTTGTTTATTCATAA